ACAGCTACAATATAAATACCCTTCAGGGAAAAAATAATTTACAGTGATACTTTTTTCTTCCTCATCCAAAAAGTGGTTAAGGATTTGGCAGGGAAACAGTGGAGGAACTGATCAGTCTGCCTATGATTTTAAAGCTTGATAACTTGTCTGTGAATGCCACTAATTTATAGCCCAACAATAATAAGTGTTAGTCAAAAATAAAACAACCAGCTTGCTTTTTTTTTTTTTTTTTTTTTTTTTTGGATTAAAAGCACAAACAAGTTGCAACTCTTAAAAGCCAAAAGCTGGGTAACCGGGTTATTTATTGGCAACGCATTCCTCCAGCTGGGAAACCCACCTTTCTCTTCTGTCACAGGCAAGAACAGAAAGCCTGACCTGCCTGACTTCCCACCCCATACTGGCTCGCTGGGCTGAGAATGGAGAGGGGAAGAGCCTGGGCTCCCACCTTGCCTCCCTGACGTGAGGCACAACTCGTGAGGCACAACTCGCACAGGAGAAAAAAGGGGTTGGTGCCTCAGTTTCCTCAGGCACTGAGGCAGGAAAGGAGGAAAACATTTCCACCCACTTCCAACTGCAAAGCTGAGCCCAAGCAGAAAGCAGGGTGGGTGCTGGCTGTACCTCAGCTGGGGTGGGAGACTGGGGAAAATAGCAATCCAGGCTGCCTCTGGCACCTCATTTTAGGAACAGGCTCCATCACAAGGCTGACTCAAACACCTCAGTGTCTAAGAGAGGGCAGCCCAGCCCCTGCGTGTCTTCTGCTAAACTAGTAGATGTTTAGATTAAGTGCTGGCAGATGACTCTGTTTCCCTTTCCTGGTCCTGATCTCTGCAATTAAGACTAGTGGTTATTTTGCTTTCTGAACTTTATATACAACATGCGCCATAGCAGTCTCCTGGGCTTTGGGAACGAGGGTGTGGTAAGATGGGAATGTGCTCAGCACCACAAAAACCAGCAGCAGCTCAGGCTGAGGGATCACTTGGTTGGTGCCCGAGGAGGTCAAGTTACACATCTGCCTGAGGGGCAACTCAGGGGCTTTTCTCTGCCCTCTGCTCTCCCTCAGCTCACACACTGCTTGGCACTACCCCTGCTGTAGGGAATGACCCCCACCCTCCTGTTAATATATTGCAGTTAAAAAACAAAAACCCCACAAGAAACCACATAGTTATTGGTGTTCTGTGGGTGCCAGGAGGTTACCATCTTCCTCTCCCTGCCACAGTGCAGGGGACAAAGCACCTGCACTGGGTATTGCCCTAGCTGGGGAGCTGCAGAGCTCCCACTTTGCTGCAGTACACCTCCCACTTCCACCTCTCCAGGCAGGAAACCCGAGGTGCTGGGGATCAAAACCTCTCACGCTAGGACAGGGCTAAAGAGAGCAAAACAAATGCCAGGTACAGGCAGGGCCCGCTGCTTAACTGAAGCTTTCCTTCTGCAAGGAAGGGAGCGTGTTGGCACATGCTGCAGAAGGGATATTGCTTTGTCTGATCGCTTTGAAGAGTGGGAGGTGGAGGAAGAAGAGAAGAGGCCAGTTAAGTGTGTTTATGTTTGAAAGGAACAAAGGAGAGCGGAGGAGAGGCCGGGGGTGCCTGCGCCAGAGATGTGTCAGAGATCACTTGTTCCTCCTGGGCCAGAACACCAGCCCAGGACCACCGGCAGAGGAGGAAGTGGTGTGTGTGCAGAGTTGTTTAAAGCAGGGAGAGGAAAGATAGAGCAAACACTCCCAAGAGACTTAGGATGGTGATAAACATGATGCAGGTTAGCAACTGGCTTCCCAACCAGTAAGGTGTGTGATATAGCACAAATACACCACAGCAGATAGCACTGCTGTGTGTACCTTGCTGCGTTCTGGTTTACCTTGGGGGAGGCTGAGTGAGGGAAGTTAGGAAGCCCTGGAGTACACAGTTTAACTAAGTCAAAGAGAAGGAGGCCATCAGCTGCACCCCAGCTTTGCCATCCGTTATGGCAAATGAAGCACGGGTCTCCCTGTTTGCAACACTGCTGGGAGGATCTGCCTTCCTGGTGGCTCTCACACAGCCCAGGCGCTGCCCCTTCCACCTTGCACTGCCCCTGGCAAACAGCACACACCAGCACGGGGGATGCTTTAGAGGGCTCTCTTTCACTATCATCCACCACCACCAAAAACCTGAAGTGCTTTTCTGTTCACTATTTAATGCTATGCTAACAGTGATGGGAACAGCACCTGCTGCCTCTGAGCGCACCACAAATAGTCAGTTCCCAGCAAGAGAGGAAGTGCTCGCCGGTGCCCGTAGTCACTGCACGGCACCCATCCCTGCAGCAAGCCCTGTGTGCACAGAGAGAAGAAAGGTGCCATTGAAGCCATGGCCAGAGATGATACCTTCTACTTCATGGAGGCAGTAGTTCTGTTTTGACAAGTCCAATGTGGAAGTTGTCTCAAGCAGAGTGTACGATAAATGCAGTGAGCTATGTGTTCTCACTAAAAAGAAGCCTGCATCCAAGAACTGGCTTTACTGCACTGGCTTGAAGGCAGACTTAATGCAGACAGCCCGTGCAAGCTTCAAGGCCAGCAAACCTTCTGCTGCAGGTCATCACGTGGACGACTGAATCAACTGCAGTTAGGCAGGGTATAGACAAGTAACTGCAGTTGGACAGAAACGTGCAGGAGCTCCAGGGATCTGGTGTAGACATGGATCTCCTACCTGTGGTTTCTCACAAAAAAAAAAAAAAAAAAAAAAAAAAAGGAAGAAGAAGAAAAAAAGACCCTAACAATCATTCACCAAAGCCTTTTCGGTCTTTTGGGGAAGAGAGGGAAGCAAATCATACATTAACAGATATTTCTGAGTTCTCGGAAAGCTTCCACGGAAGCAGCGATGGTTGAATAGCCCTACTGTCTCTTTGGTGTTACCAAGATACTTCTGCAGATTCATCTGTATTTCAGCATATGAATTTTAGTACTGCATGCCTCCCCTACCTACCATTTTTCAAATTTATTTTTTTAAAAAGCAGATTAAGAAAAGCTAGTGGACAGCCCTCTTGGAGAAAAAAAACCCCAGACTTAAATTAGAAAAACATCCAGGTTTAAACAAGGAACTGGGAGACATCTTACATTTTTACTCTTACTTTTTTAGGTGGTTAGGAAACCAGTACTCTCCTCCATACAGCACAATATATAACCAAAACTAGTTCTAGCTTTGCAACAGGAAACCAAAACTGACTGCACTTTTTGCATTCTTAAATGCTAATGCATAAATGGTGATGATCATAAGAGGCTTAATGTATACGTATGAGAGCACCTCCATGGTACACAGGATTTCTGCTTGTTGTAAAAAACCTAAAATTTGTCTCTTAATGGCAATGGTAGGTGAAAGCTGAAAGAACTGGGTTTGAGAAATGCTTCTTTATTTTAAAATATGGATGTTTTAAGGGTTCCCTTGCATTCCACATCAGAGAGTCTGAAATATTTATAGACAGAAACTTCTGAATGAAACATGCACCTCTGCAGAAGATTTGAGACCAACAATTTGTCTTTCAGTCACTGGAGGCTAATTCACATTTCTAAGTGAAATGATTTTTGTTTGAAATTCAGCAAGTGTGTCTCAGACCTCAGAGATAGCAATCTGGAACAACTCCACTGGAGAAAGGAGGGGAAAACAAGAAACTATCTTTAAAGTCAGACCCACAAGGACTCATATCAGTGACTATTACTGCATGTGCTGCTTCTGAACCTGCAGCAAATACAGTATTTGAACATAAGAAACCCATAAAGCACAAAGTGACTAAGACAGTAAAATGCCATTATGCCTCCTGAGATCAACAGGTTTCAGCTAAGATCCCAAACTTAAAGGGATATTTCATCAAAAGGCACTTGAGTCCATCAATCACTATCTGCTCCTTTTACACGAGTCCCTGGCAGGGCTCCACTTTTGCTTTGAGGTTTTATTTTCCTCCAGCTGCCCTCTGGTGTCTGCAATACAGACTTACAAGTAAACTCCATCCCCTGTCCGATGAGGAGAACCCAGCAGGCCCCAAGAAAGACAAATTGTAGCTATCACACTATTGTCACAACCAAGTTGAGAAAACAGCACTGCATTGCCCTTCTCTTGTATCCCGCAAGGCATTTTGCCATCTGTACATTTCTTTGCAAGATCCATCAGCTGAAGGCACAGTCAAGGTTTCAAGCTCATATATACATATATATATATATACACACTTAAAAGTGGACAACATTTTAGCCACAGAATAAACAGGACACAGACGCACTGCAGTGTCCATCTTCCCATTTTATTTGTAATCCCCAAAATGATCCAGTGGGGATGGTCAGTTTCAAGTCTTGGTCAATTAATGTAACAGAAAGATCAGAAGTCACATCGTACTGGGCCTGACCCTGCAAGCAGACTCACTTAAATCAGAGCTGCAGGACACAGTGAGCAATATTATCCAATCCAACTTTCACATGCTTAAGACTTTGCAAAATGTTGGATTAGCACATCTCTAGGTTGTTAAATCACAACTTTTACTGCGCAAACAAAACCTTTCAAAGCAACATACTCAGTCCTACTCACACTTCCACACACAACACTGTGGAACACCTATTTGTACTGAGCCAAGTACACCAGGTGCTGTGTTAAATGGGAGAAGGCGGGGCAAGAGGGGAGGACTGTGCCTCAAGCCTATTTAGTCCCTCTCAACCCAAGCAGGAGACCACTCCCAACTCCAGATTTCTTACCCAATTGCCACAAAACATGCAACAATACAGAATATGCGTAAAGGTATCTGCAAACAGAGAGACCTCTCCCTCCCCAGGAGCACTATACCCTGCCTATCAGGGTACTTCTATATGCAGAAAGAGCTCCAGGCACTCAGGTGTGGAGACAGCAGGTCTGGTTCATACGCCATCTTCGCTGATGGAGGTGGTCTTGCAGCAGAGCAATTAATGACAACTCAGGCAAGTCTGAAGCCCTGTCTGTGGAATCACAAGGCAAATGGGGGAGGGACTGCATACAAAACCTGAGACTTACCTATTTCTTTGCCCTTCCCTCAAGAGAAAAGAGCACCTTATAACAAAAAGGAAGGGGGGGAGGGGGGGAGCAGGCATTAATTATGCCTAGGAGTGGTTAAAAATAGGGGTTTCCTCAACTGTTGTGTTTCCAGAACAGGGATGTGACATCTGAGCATCCTACAGAGTCCAAGAGGTGTGGGAAGATGCTTCTTCTAGTCAGTTTTGTGTAAGGCCTGGAGATGTTGGTGTGTTTCTCCTGCCCTATCAGTTCCTAGCCTTTTATAACAGCAATAGGTCTCAGTTTAATGGCTTTCTTGCTGATGCCAGCTGCGTGGCAGGTGTTAACCACATCTGTCACATTCTTGTAAGACTCTGGTGCCTGGAGGGGGAGGACAGAAAAAAAAAGACAAAACTATAAACAACCCAAAGTCACAGGAAGATAGATGTAGGCATTTGATAATCCCCTTTTCTTTTTGCAAAAATAGAACCATACGAATTAAAGGTGTAAAAGTAGGTGAACATATTGAGAATCTGGCCATCTTAATATCTAAGAAATCTATGAGACGCTTGGCTTTACAAATAAGCTTTTACCATATTTCAGATAAAAAATAGCTATTTTGGTTCATTTTTCCTTATATTCTCAGATAATCCAGTCCACCAGCATGTGAGAATGCCAAGCCTCATTATGTGGCAAAAAGTCACTCCAACTTCCTCCTTACAGTCACTCCAACTTCCTCCTTTAAGATTTATCTTCACTGCCCCTTACTGACAGAATCAGGGCTGAATGCTTGAGCTTCCCCCTCCAGCATTCTGACAAGGAAGTTGCTCTTGAGTAGAGATTTTAATGCGATCAGCATGTTTGCACAACACCCACCACACCCATAACAGCATAGTTCCAAGTGATTAACACACTTTTATGAGTGAGGTTGTGAACAGAAAAGACATTGTCTCACGTTAATGCAGAAGAACTGGAAGTCACAATATTCAAAGTTTTCTAGCCATTCAAAGATCTCTTCTTCTTGACCAAATATAGCAATTTGTCTTAAAAGAGGCAGATTTCTCATACATCGCTAATAATCTACATGACAGCTGCAGTGTAAAGTAAGTTTAAAGCTGTGAGAAGATAATTCAAGAAGTGAATCCAGAAAACATAACTATTTTTGTCATGCTCATCCAAAGACTTCTCAGGGTTGATAGTAATTATCCCTATCACCCAGGCCGAAGAGGAGAAAACCATATCCCTCAAAACCTGTCAAACAGGCAAAAAATTTAGGGACAAGCAATACTTCACATTATTAAAAAAAAAAAAAAAAATAGACAGCTCTATCGGGAATTGCACAAGCTGTATACTTAAGAGTACTAGTGATCACTTAGCACTGTGAAGAATCAAGTCTGGGAGGGTCATTCAGCCAAGGAGCAAGACCCCCTTTTCCCTCTCAGCTAATGAAGCATTAAACTCACTTCTTCCATGACCAGTTTGGGAGATGCAACACGGATGGCAATGCCCATGTCAGCCAGCTTGTCCAATACATCCTGGAAGTCCAAGTTACGTCGAGATTTGGCTCGAGACAGCGCACGACCCTAGACAGCAGTTTTGTTAGTTCTATTTTTTTGTAGCAGTTTAGAAAAAAAAGAACTCTTTCTTATTAAAGAAAAACACGATTACATTATAAGTAAACATAGAACGGCCAAGGGCACAGACCACAGTAAGCCACAAAACAATTTAGACTTCAGGTGATGGGCTTCAAAATCCCACATCTGGTATGATGGCTAGGAAAGTTCCATGTGTATCACATACTAGTCTGCAAGTCTTTTTACACAAACTACTAGTCAGACAGTGTTCAGGAGTTGGGAGTTTTACTGGAAGCTATTTCTCTTCCTCAATCATCCTTGTCTCATACTGTAAATAACAGGAGAGAAAACACCTTCTTCTAATTACTGAGGAGTTTTATATGGACAGCCTTAGCACAGTTAATCCTTCTTGTTAGCTCAGAGATATCAGAATTTGGTAAAAGGAGCACATTCACCACATCTCAATCCTAACATTTCCCTCGTATAAAGAAGCATCCCCTAAATTTTCTGCAGGAGTAGTCGAAATGACTTTTTCACTTACAGCTCCATGGCAAGTAGTTCCGAAGGTCTCAGTCATGCCTTGCTCTGTGCCAGTAAGAACATAGCTACAGGTGCCCATGGTCCCGCCAATCAAAACAGGCTGTCCAGTCAGCTGTGGGTGAAAACAAGTATTAATTCACCAAGACAAGGACTAAAAACACTCACTCTTAATAAAAGTCTGAGAGGAACATCTCCAGAAAAGGAGGTCAGGTTCACATTCCCTCAGAGCATCCCTGCCTGCCTCAGGTACCTGGTATGGAGGATTCTGGAGAACTAACTGCACTGAAAGGTGCAGACCAGCAGATCAAAAGACTTGTGTCCATCAGACAGACAAGGCAAATCACTGAAGCCTGCCCCAGGTATGAAACACTTCTTTCCCTTCATGATCTTTCAAACATTTTTGGTGTGGAGCTGAAGAGGGATCTCAGTGTCCCAACGAGCTAACACACAGACAAGCAGAATATTGCTACCCATTACGGTTCCAGAGCTGTTAGCTCAAAAAAGGAACTCACAGCACTTGAATCTCTGTTAGGGACCCTTTAAATATCTGATTCATCCAGAATTCTCTTCTTATTTCCTTCTGCCACAACTAAACTTACCTGATAATCAACAGCGATAAGGGGATGGTGAGGAGGGAAGGCCCTGGTTGATCCCTTTCTGTGCACCAGCAGAGTCCGCTCCTTTCCATCCACTACATGTTGCTCCACTTTGGCAATGTTGTGAGACACATCATAGATAACATGCATATCAAGGTCATCTGGGGTTGTGTTGAAGACTTTGGCAAAGGCCTAAAAAGAGAGCAAATCAGGATGTGAAATATGAGAAGGTAATGGCTGTGTACATGTGGAAGATTCAGAACCTTTTTAGGAAGTAAAAGGAACAAATTTACTTGAAAGTGTTTCTTACTGATAAGTCAGTGACCTAAATGCTCAGCATGGCAGGTGCACAACGGAACTGAATACATCAGTGCTGAGTGTGACAGAACTGGACTGTCTAGATTGTTTTATCTGCCCTCTGGCAGTTTTAATGCTAAAATTCAATCAGATATCAGCTAGACAAATTGTGCAACACCAAAAAGATGGCTTCAGCAGTGTAAAAACAATGTTCTTGTATCCTCTTCTTCCAGTTCAAGGTATTTTCAATAATATTGCCCAAGTGGCTTCTGCAAGTACAATCCTGTGATGTTGAGAGGTTTTAGATAGATTGCCATGACTTCAGCTTTTTGTAAGTCCCTCCAAAAAACACAGTTTAAGAAGCACAAAAATGAAAATTACATTAAGTACTGCAACTACTCTGTGTTCTATATGTCTGGGATAAAGCAGGAGATGATTCTATGTGTACCAAAATATTTACATCAGAGCCAACTCTGCTCCTACCTGTCTCGTTAGAAAAGTCATAGAAGAGCGATTGACCCACGCATAGTTTCCAGCAGCTGCCATTCCCTTCAGGTAATCCTGTCCCTCTACGGAGGCAATTCTGGCACACGCCAGCTGGCGATCATTCACTATGATTTTGTCCCGTTTCATAGCTTTTTCCATTGCCACCAACGCATCTGGGAAGTAAACACAGCAAGTCTAAGTGATTTCTTATTTTTGTTTCAGTGTGTGAGATTAACATGGTGGTCTATATTTTATATTCTAAAACTAAACACATCTGTCCAATGGTCAAACCTACAGCTTCTTCTCAAATGCAAAAGCGAATCTGTAGCTGAACATCATCAATTGTTTGCAAGCGGCATTCCCCAAGACTATTTTTAGAAAGAAAAGTTGAGATGCCCAGGTGTACCAGCAAGAATTCTCCACTTAAGACAAAAGCAGTTCAATCTAGTGATAAATTCTAATAATGTGAGCACTTCACTTGGATTCAAAACAATAAATGCAAATGTAACGCTTTTTTGTGACCCAGGAATTTAGTCTTTTTCTGCTGCAGGAATGTCTGCCTCTGTTACACCAGAGATTATGGACTCACTGTCCTAGGCAAATACATATAAAGACAGTCCTTCAGCCAGACAGAGGATTCAGTGAAAATCTCCATCCTCTGTTGATTATAGAATAATTTAGATTGGAAGGGATTTCTGGAAGTTGTGTAGTCCTAACACTTGCTCAAAGCAGCTCCAGCTAGATCAGGTTGCTCAGGGTCCTATTCAGTTAAGCTTTGAGTATCTCCAAGGATGCTGGTTCTACAGCCTTTCTAAGCAACCTGTTCCAGCATTTGACCATTTTAATGGTTAAAAATCTAGTTGGAATTTCCCATGTTCCAGCATTAATCAATCTGCCATCTCTTGTCTTACCATCGTGTGGACGTGTAATGGCAAGATCAATACCCTGCGTGACCAAAGCCAATTAACACGTTGTTTTTAGACTTATCATAGCTAAGAGACTTGAAAACACATGCGAGATCAAGCAGACAAAATTCAAGGCAAGCCCTGTCAAGGCAACTCAGAACAGACTCAACAATTACACTGCAAGAAATGCTGTTGGGTCCTGGAGTTTACTGTCGATGACAAGACCATACTGAGGAGTTTGCTTCACTCCGGGTACCTCCACCAGTCAGATCGTACCTGTGGCAACCTGGTGGCCCAGACCTCTGCTGCCACTGTGGATCATCACGCACACCTGCCCTTTGTGGTCGATGCCCATCTTCTTGGCAGCATATTCGTTGTAAATGTCATCCACAACCTGGATCTCAGCATAATGATTTCCAGCTCCCAGGGTCCCCAGCTGCCAATCACAACATGCTGATCAGATAGTGCTAGTAAACCAGCCTCTGAGAGGCGAGCTACAGGAATATGGGCAATAGGGCAAACTGCTACAGAAAGGTTTTGGTTTTAGGAAAGCTTCTGCAGGAAAAAAAATCCCATATAAACGGAAAGAAAGTAGAACACAGCAGCATCATCACTGTCCTCTTTGTTCAGATTACTAACTATTTTTACCGCTGGAACAAGACTGCAGTTAAACAAAAGGACCAGGATCTCCAGACCGTGCTTCCACTTCTTTTGAACTTAATTAGGCCCAGTTGAAAGGAGGAAAAAATATGAAGTATTGAGAATTCATCTTCAATTTGTATAGGCAAGACAGACATGCAGTCTTATACTTGACTGTAACTCCACAAGAAAGTTACAACATCCTGTTAATGGTGCTCTTACAACCTTTCAGCAGATTAAATCAAGATTTCCAAGCCACAATTTTTTTCAAGTCTGTAACAGATGATTATTTATTTGCAAGACAAAAGTGAAAATTCAGGACATAAGATTATTTTGAGGTTAAAATCCTATAATCTTTTGCAGCACCACAATTCATAAAACTCAAGAAGTCATATAAAAGAAAGCTTTAGATATGGCAGTGTGTAAGCGTAAGTATAGCCATCTCAAAAGTGTTGTATCCAGAGCAATGAGATACTGCTCATGGAAAAGAAATCCAAACTTCAATTCAAAATTCTGAGACAGTTCCACTTGTTATGATATCCTGCCTTGCCCTGCTATTAACTTGTTAAGCAGTCAAGGAGAAAAGTTACAGAATAGCTTGCCTGCCTCTTGAAAACAAAACTACATCTGGATAGGGAAATACCACCAAACATGAATTCCAGTACCAGGTGTTAATTGAAGAAAAAGTGATGACCCCAGGGACCTTGGGCACGCCCAGTACTTACACTGTTTCCCTCTGTTCCAGTTCTCTCAAGAATTATTCAGAAACATCCCCACTATCTCACACTTCCTCCTGCCCAGAAATGCTAGTAGTTTCAAGAAAAGACACAAAACTAGAGAACTACCTGCTAATCCTTACATTTGAACCCTGGGGGCACTCACACCCTTCCTGAAATATAACATTACCTGAGGCAGGCCCCTCTTCTTTGCTCTTGCAGAGACCTTGTTGGGGTCAGCCTGCAGCATTCTTCCATATTCCTCACAGTGCTCCTTGTCCTCTGCCCAGGCATAGCCTTCCCGGAGAGACCAGTCCACACCCATCTCTAGTGCCTCTTCCAAATCCCTGCAATTATCAAACACCTACGTAAGTGTTATCCTTAGAAATCCTCAAAACTCCACTGGATATGGCCCTGAGCAACCTCATGTAACTTTGTCCTTAGACCTACCTTCAGAGTTAGCCCTCCTTTGTGCAAGGAGTGGGACGAGATGTCCTCAAGAGATCCCATCCAACCTAAATTATTTTATGATTTTATGATCAGCTCCCAATTCCCCTAATAAGAAGTCCAACTTCTTAATACTTCATGAAAATCAAACTCTACAAATATATTAACGTTAGGTAATAACTTTTTCCTCTTTGTTGTGTGGGGATAATCCTGCTTTCTCTCTCATCCCTTTCCAAAACTACCTTTACATTCATGGAAGTTTTCTGCCAGAGGAAACGAGAACCTTTCAAGAACATTTAGTTATTTCAGGGTTTAAAATTGGGGATGAAACAGGTGGCTTTGGGTGTTGATGATTACGCCAGTCCTCCTGGTGAAACCAGTGTAGAAAGAATGGAAAGAGTTTTAGAATTACTCTTCCTTTCTTAAAGTCTCCCCATGATGAATCTTTTATCCAAATAAATACCAGAGATGTCCTCTCTAGTGACATCTTTCTCTTAGACACACAAAGTCTTTCTCTTACTTGGCATTCATGGGGATGACACCCTTGGAACCAACACCAACAGGAATGTGGTCAAACATAGCCTGGGCAAGCTGCTCTTTCACAGGCTGCACATCAGTTTCATCCAAATTTGTACGCAGTAAGCGGACACCACAGTTGATGTCAAATCCGACACCACCTAGAAGCATAGAAAAAGCCATAGAGTTAATAAATAAAGTGTGCTGATGGTGAGCACTTGCTGAATATTAATCTTAAATCAGTGTCCCTACTGACAGGGAGCATGTATTGAATGCTGTGATCTTACACCATCTTTCTGACACAATACTGGGAAAAAAAGCGAAACTGCACTAAGCTTCATTTTGATAGATCTACATGAAGCCTCAGATTTTGAGACAGCCAGAAATGTAGTCCTGCATAGAGAAACTTGAAAACTCTTAAAAACCCCACAGTTTTTCAGTCTCAAGCATATGCTCTCTAGACATAGCTGTACAATTGCCTACAGAGCTCACCATTTACAAAGTTGTTGCAACAAGTACACAAAGAAAAGTAGACAAAACTATAAAATACACTGTCCACAAAAAGTAGAGAGGATATTCCTGTTCTCCTGCCTAAGGTCAGAAGAAAAGTGGCAGATCTTAGCGTGGCTCCCTGACATAAGATGTTCTCAAAAGCAAGTCACTGAAACCAAGTCCTTTTTGAATCCTCACTGGAATAAATAATAATAGTCATAACAAGCGATAAATACTTACAAGAAATATTAAACTTCAGTGCTTAGTATTTCACATAACTCTTAGTATTTAATAAAGACTGTAAGGCAAGGCCTAGTGTGAAAGACCAATCATGCCACCTTTACTAGTCAAGTTTCTGATAGTAACTAGTGTCAGAGGGGGACACCAGGTCAAGAGATCTTGGGTTTGAGTCACTCAGGAACATTGGAACTGCCTACAGCAAACCTGAACCATGAATAACACGTACAACCACAAAAGCATCTCCAGACCATTGGTAATTGCTTGTTAAAAAGATAGAAATATTTTAAGGCCACATTTTTAATGAAGTGTACAAGCAGTCTCAAAAGATGTTTTCAAATGTTGCTCAAAGAAAAGAGCCAATTCTTTATCAGTCTGCAAAAACCCTGTTCAAAGTCTTGTGCCCTCCCTTCAAAACTGAGGGATATCACGAGCCCAAGCCAAAACCACCAGGGCAATCCTCTCTGTACTGTTTAGACGTTTTCAGTGTAACCACCTGCTCCATAAAGAATAAAGATTGTGAGTGCAAGAATTAAGTGCCTCTTAACTCCTTATAATTCATATATTTTTTGCTTTGGTTCTGCATACAAAATATTGTAAAAACCCGCCATTTCAAAAAGTGTTTTTATGCCACCACAGACGTTTCTCAGGGCAGGTTAAGTCAGTCTTAAAGTATCCTTACCTGGTGACACCACTGCTTCAGGATCATTCATATCAAAGGCAGCCATGTTGCCAATGGCAAACCCATAGCCAGAATGGACATCTGGAAGGCCTATTGATCTCTGAAAGAGAATGAAGGAAAATTTAAACTTGTATGAAACTCTGTGCTGCACAGAGTCACCTTGGTTATCCTTTTCCTTGTGACAGTGGTTGTCACAAGTATACCAGAAAAAGAATGGATGTTCAGATGAAGATGGAGAACAAATACCAATTCAGGCAAGTATCTGAATTCCTACAGTTACTGGAGTGACAGTCAAAGAAAGGAGAGAGCAGTTGATGTCACTCTGAAGCAAACACCCAGTGGCTAGTCAGCTGAGTAGCCCCCTTGGCTCCATTGGCCAGATCTCAAGAAAACTTAAGAGGACCTTAAACACCTAAATGTAGGAATTTAATGGGTAAATGGGGTAATGGATTTAAATTGGAAGAGGGCAGATTTAGACTAGATATTAGGAAGAAATTCTTTATTGTGAGGGTGGTGAGGCACTGAAACAGGTTGCCCAGGGAAGCTGTGGATGCCCCATCCCTGGAGGTGTTCAAGGCCAGGCTGGATGAGGCTTTGAGCAACCTGGTCTAGTGGAGGGTGTCCCTGCCCATAGCAGGGGGGCTGGAACTCAATGATCTTTGAAGTCCATTCCAGCCCTAACCATTCTATGATTCTACAGTTCTAATTGTGATCTCAAACTGAATTCTAAAGCCTGCTTTTTCTTGGACTCAAGGGTCCTTTCATTCGAAAATTATGCAGGCAATAGCTTATGAGTAGCATAAAGCAGAGACATATGAGTGAAGATGAGTTTGTCTTTAACAAGTTCCAACTAGAGATATCTGCAGTATTTAAATACTGTAAATGTAACAAGGGAAGGGTTTCGTTCTATGGAATGGAATCATAAAACAGTCATCATTTTCCCTTCTTAGCTGTGTCATTGAACATTGACCAAAGACCACACCTTGTAGGCAGGAAAAAGTCATCCTTTTAGGTTGATATCCTGATAGGAGCTGTATCATTTTAATTTATAAAATAATACCTTGTATTGAAACTTTTTATATTACTACTAATTAAAGAAAGCAAGCATGTGCTCGTACACAACTTCACAAGGTATATTTAGCCTGGCAAGTTTAGATTAGGACACTACAATTAGGACTCCACAATCTTTTTAAACAACCAAAAAACCAAGCCCTCAAAACCCAGACTTACAGAAATTGGAACTTTTCAATGTGTGTTAAACTGCTATCATACATTTTAAAAGAACAGTATTTTTCTGTAGGGCTGTGTGCTGCTTCTGCCTCCCCTTGCCATCACCAAACCTCTTGGTTAGGAAAAAAAAGTGAAGATCTGAATAGAGATATGATCATAACATCTTTCTGACAAACTGCCAGCCAAAATTCCCATTTTAATACGTTGCTACTATTCTACCTTACACACTTTTTCATTGATCACCAAGGCATTTTGAAAGCATGATGGGCTGCCTTTTACTACAGCCAGAAATTACAAACTTTATCAAGTCACCAAGAGAAACAATTAAAAAGAGAAAATCCCCTTATTTGTTACTTGATACATGCAATATCAAACATGAAAAAGATCCGTTCTATGTTGTACTTAGTGCTTCTTGAGAAGTGACACAGTCTAATATTTTCCTCTTGAATCATCACATCTGATACTTTGCTTCCAAAAATGCATGGGGTAAAGGAAAGGCATGTTGAATGCATGGGAAGGCTCACTACCAATGTTAGGGCAGCAACAACAATACAGACTACAACATTGCCTCTCCTCGCTTCTCCGTGCATTCCAGGTCAGCAGAAGCAACTCAAAAACAACAAACAGCCAATATGAGCAGTGGGGGAAAGGTGGCTCAAGCAATCTGAAACAGCACAAAGCAATGATAAAAAAACTTCATGTCAAAAAGCAGTCAGTGAAGTAAGCAGATACTTCTCTTTGTGATGACTTAGTTTTACAGCCTGCCCTTGCAAGCACTTCTTACTCAGCGAAAAGTTCCTAACAGACAGGCTGTCCTGAGAAGAACTTTGGTCCATACCCCTTCTCACAATGGAGTTCCCATTTAGATCGCAAATAATCACTAGCAAATGGAAAAAGAGCAGTTCTTTATAGGAGCTACTCACATGAACAATGCCAGGTAATGCAGCCACATTCCCAATCTGTTTCATAGCAGGCAAAAAGCCACCTGCACCTGAAAAAAAAAAAAAAAAAAGAGGAAAAAAAAGTAAATAATCTGATAATTTACCACAGTAATAACAATGAAGCACCTTCTAAAGAAGTTGTTCAAAACACTGACAGATTGGAAGTCAGCCCCAACAAGTATTCTAATCTGGTACGAAGCACCCAGCGTTATGCACAATCTGCAGTTTCATTAAATGAAGTATTCTAAAATCCTCCTTCTGCTGCGTTAGAATCAATGCAGACTGACCTGTGCTAACAGCAACAGAAGGACGTTACCACCAGCCCCGCTGTCAGATCTGGATCCAGCCCTGCACACAACAGGCAAGCCCGGACTATAGCTCCTCGCAGAGGTAAACGCTGAGAGCAGCCATTCAGGGAGTGCTCCGGGGCACAGAGAGCAGCTGTGAAGGCTGCGCCCTCCCATCCGATCCGGGCACAGAACATGCCACACCTGCAGGTGACACCCCCGTGCTGCTCACCAGGCCGCAGCGCCTGGCAAGGCAAGGAAACTCATTCCCGGTTGCTGCCCCTCCAGACTCGCCA